GGTCACCCTGCCTCGGTGGGAGACGACCAACTTGTTGAAAAAAAAAAAAAAATATGTAGTATCAGTCAGTGTATGAACTTGGTCGTCTAGTCTTGAAGTTTTAAGATTTAGGTGATTTACTGGTAAAGTTAAATATTGAGTATTTAGTCTAGGGTGAGTAAGTGGCTTTTGAGAAGAGTCCTAAATTGATTTTCAGACTGGGTTTCTTTAGTATTTTCTGGTAATGAATTCCAAATTTTGGGGCCCTTTATGTGCATAGAGTTTTTACACAGTGTGATATGGACACGGGGTACATCAAAAAGAGATCTGTGTCTTGTGTTATGGTCGTGTGTCCTGTTAAGGTTGGTGAGAAGTTTGAGTGGAGAGTTTATGTTTGAGTGTATTGGTCTATGTATGTAGTCGGCACATGAATAAGTATAGATGTTCTTTATGGTGAGCAGATTTAGACTTTTGTATATTGGTGGAGTATGTTCTCGGGAGTGGGAATTTGTTATCATTCTGACTGCAGCCTTTCGCTGTGTTATTAGTAGTCTTAGGTGATTTGATATTGTTGATCCCCATTCACAGATTCCATATGTGAGATAAGGGTAGATGAGTGAATGATTCAGTGCAAGGAGAGCTGATTGTGGAACATAGTACCATATCTTTGATAGTATGCCTACTGTCTTAGAGATTTTTTTGGAAATTTGTTGTATATGTGTCTGGAATTTGAGGCTACTGTCAAGGTGAATTCCTAGGAATTTTCCCTCTGTGAATCTTGTGATGGGTGATCCATTTAGCTTTATGTTAAGTGGAACATTTGCAGCTCTGTTTCCAAACTGAATGAAATAGGTTTTATCAGTATTCAGGATTAGTTTATTAGTCTTCATCCAGGCAGATATTTTCTGTAATTCAGCATTGACAGTGTTGGCAAGGATGACTGGGTTTTGGTGGGAGAAGACGTATGTTGTGTCATCTGCAAATAATATGGGTTTGAGTAGCTGTGATGCATTTGGTAGATCATTGATGTAGATGAGAAAGAGGAGTGGTCCAAGGACACTTCCTTGTGGGACTCCTACTGTGATTGGTTGAGTGGAAGAGTTTGCACCATTTGTGTACACATATTGGCTTCTGTTACTAAGGTATGACTTTAGGTAGTTGAGGGAGTGGCCTCTTATACCATAGTGTGACAATTTTGTGCACAGCAATTCATGGTCGACTCTATCAAAAGCTTTACATAAATCAATGAAAATTCCCAGCAGGACTTCTTTCTTCTTGAGAGCGGTATATATTAGTTCTAGCATGTGTATGATAGCATCATTTGTGCTTTTATTATTCCTGAACCCAAACTGACAGGGGTTTAGTATGTTGTGTGAGACGAGGTAGGAATAGATCCGTATATGAATTAATTTGTCAAAGATTTTAGAGAACATTGGTTAAGTTAGATATTGGTCTGTAGTTATTCAAGTCAGCTTGGTCACCTCCTTTTAGATGAGGGTGACCCTCACTATTTTGAGAATTGTTGGGAAGGTGGAAGATTCAATGGATTTGTTAAAGAGTGTTGCAGTAATTGGTGACAATACTTGAGAAGCTTTTTTGTACATAAAAGTTGGCAAGTTGTTTTTGTCTCCTGCCTTGTTTTTAAGGGTGTTGATGATGAGCGAGACTTCTGTTGGGTTGGTAGGATCTAGGAATAGTGTATTCGGGAAGGTGCCCGTGAGGTAGTCTGATGGACGGGTGTTTGAGCTTGGGATTTTGCTTGCTATGTTCTTTCCTATGGTGGAGAAGAAAACATTGAGTCTGCTGTTTCAGTTGGTGGGAGTAGGGGTTCGTCTGATTTTGTTAATTGGATTGTTTTGTTTTTTTGATATCTTTTTAGTTCCTAGAATTTCAGCGAGGGTTTTCCAAGTCTTTTTCATATCACCTTTGATGTTATGTAATCTGTTTTCATAATACAATTTTTTAGACCTTATCAGGCTGGTAAGAGCAGACACATAACGTTTAGACTGTTGTCTAGTTATTTGACCCATTCTGTACTGTTTTTTCATATTGGTGCTTTGTGTTAATGAATTTAAGGATGCTGGGTGTTCGCCAAGGACTTCATTCTCTTTACTGTGATCTGTTTAGTTTTTTAGGGCAATGTTTGTTGTAGAGGTATTGGGCTTTTTTTAGAAAATTATTAATATATTTATTCATATCTGTATATATTTCGAGCTCATTATGCCAATCGACGTTATTCATGGCTGCTATAAAGTTATTAATATCTGTCTCATTATGTAGTTTGAATGTAACTTTAGTAATGTCTTGGGGCAATTTATCTAGGTTGGTCATGAGAAAGGTTGGGTAGTGATCTGTGGTGTTATCTGTGATTATGCCTGATTTTAACCCCTTGACTGTCGCAACTCCAAATCCTGAGGTGTCTCCTGGTGTCGAAAAATTTCCCCCCCCAAAAAAAAATATTTTTCTTATGAAATGATAGAGAATCTTTTCCCAATTGTAATGACACCAAAAGAACGAAATTTGATGGAAAACTGATGGAATTATGCTCTCGCGAAGTTAGCAACCTCGGCGTTATTTACAAAATCGGCGATTTCGCCCACTTTGAGCTCTATTTTCGGCTAATTTCATTGTTCCAGTCAACCAAACTCATATATATTTGTTTAGAACTCCATTTTTCTATCGACTGAGTACAAGAAACTGCCCATTTACCAATAACGTGGTGAGAAATTTGCAATTTGGCCAATTTCATGAAAATTAAAAAATATGACAATTTCAAAATAGGGTCCAGAATGAACAATGCAGACATTCCTGACTCTAAAATAACATTTTCTTTGTTCATCAACCACATCTCCAGGCCGCTCTGGTATTACTCTTGCCTTCTATTTTGAATTTTTATTCAAACAAAAAATTGAAGATTTACTGTTATGCAGACTTCTGCAATATTGTAATAATTGTATAAATAATATCAACCCATTCATGACTGCATATTAGAATGGCTACTTGGACATTTATTGGAAAATGACATCATTTATTTACTTTTGAACATCGGCAAAAATTAAACATTTCCCCTAATTTGAGCTCCATTTCAAGGTTCTTTTCATAGCAAAACCAATCAAAATCACCTCTCTTTCTATAATATGTTTTCCATTCTATCTCATGAGACCAAGAAAACGAGAATACAACCATAAATACTATACGAAAATAGACCACAAATTTGGCATTTTAATTAAGAAAAACGGTCGGAGTTTTTTTTTCTCATGTACTGCGTGCTTCAGGATTTTTTTTTATATGGTGCACACTGACCACATAGACCCATTCTCTCACAAGTGGGTCTACCAGCTTTCTCCTGCTTGATTTGAAGCTGCTAGAATTTATTAGTATACTATATACATCAAAAACGGTGGCTCGTAAGACGTATATATACGACCAAAACAGTCAAAGGGTTAAAGGGGATATGGTGTTAGTCCGTATGTGGTCTAATAAAGAGATGCTAGTCTTGGAGATTCTTGTAGGTTTTGATATTGTTGGTAGCAACAAGCAGTTGATCATAGTGTGTGTGAATTTGGTTACTTGTAGGTCCTGGTCATGTAGTAAATTTATGTTGAAGTCTCCTGTTAGCAGCAGGTGGTCTTTGTTCATATGAGCATCAGTTATCATGTTTCCTAATTTTTCACTAAAGTGGTAAATGTTTGACTGTGGTACTCTCTAGATTTTTATAACTGTGAGGGGTTTTTGCAGGTCTTTTGATTTAAATTTAGCTATAATATATTCACCATGCTCATCCCTTGTGCAGATTTATTGATACATTCAAGTGGATTTGAGTAGTATGTAGCTGTTCCACCCCCTTGCTGATCTGTCCTACAGTTGTGTATGGCTGTGTAACCAGGAATGGCAAAGACATCTGCAGTACCAGGCTTTAGCCAGGTTTCTGTGAGTGTGATGATTGACATACTGGAATGAAGGGAATTGAGTAGTACTGTGAGGTCATCATAATGTTTGCTCAAGGATATGACATTGTAGTTAAAGACAGTTATGTTATTGGTTACTCTGAGTAATGTCTTTGCTTGGTCTGCTGTATAATAATTACAGTTGCTGTTTGATTTGTGTAAGTCATTTAATAAAAAGTTTACATCAGGATGAATTCCTGTAATCATAAGAATGAGAGTGACTCTACAACTAGATTTTTGAATAAAATATTATGTTAAACTTAATAATTATGATACTTTACTAATTTATCTTACTAGCTAATGGATTGTTACAAATGGGAGGTTGGTATCAGGATCAATGCTTGTAATCATAAGATTTATAGTGAATCTATCACTTGACTTAGGAATAAGACTATGTAATTATTCTAACACCAAAAAGAATAAAAGAGCTAGGAAATATAATAGTAAAACAACGAAATTATTACACTTTAGCACCTGAAATAGCACCTTAATTATTTTAACAAATGAGAATATATGAATTAAGGTAGTTATTTAAAGCTAAAATAAAGGAGCTAGTGAACATGATAATAAATGAAAGTAAAATACTGTACTGTGATACATATACACAGGTATGTTTGTATAAGAATATACATCAGGTATGTTGGTACAAGAATATACACCAGGTATGTTGGTACAAGTATATACACCAGGTATGTTGGTACAAATAAACTGGGTATGTTGGTACAAATATATACACCAGGTATGTGGGCACAAATATATAAGCAAGGTATGTTGGTACAAGCATATACACCAGGTATGTTGGTACAACAATATACACCAGGTATGCTGGTACAAGTATGTACACCAGGTATGCTGGTACAAGTATATACACCAGGTATTTTGGTACTGTATATACACCAGGTATATTGGTACAAGAATATTTACCAATATGTGGGTACAAGTATATACACCAGGTATGTTGATACAAGTATATACACCAGTATGTGGGTACTAGAATATACACCAGGTATGTTGATACAAGAATATACACCAGGTATGTTGGTACAAGTGTACAGAGTTGTTATTGTGTTTCAGAGTCAGAATCAGTGTTGATGTCACTGACTCATGACCACCAGACGGCATTTGGGCTGCAGTTTGATGACCCTATGTGGCGGCGGTACTTACTCTCACCCAAGCCTTTGGGTCTAAACATTCTGCTGAACACTTGTAATCCAGCCACACAGAAGCACTACACCCAGTGTCTGTGCTCACATTACCTGTGAGGCCAGTATAATGAAGACTGGTGCCGCTCTCAGAGGAGGTGAGCTCTCTTACATTTATTCTTACCAATTTATACATCATTATCATTTTGAAGTTCTTGCTTAAGAAATTCTTCTTAATAGTATGTCAAATTTTAAGTAATCTTTATTCATTAGGATTAGCTTACCTGAAATGCACTGCACACTAGTGGCTTTTCTTTTGTGCCTGTCACCCAGCCTGTCTCCCACCAAGGCAGGGTGACTCAAAAATGAAGAAAACCTTATAAGCTTTCTTCTTTTAAATTTAGTAATATTTTATTTATTTTATTAACACAGCCATTCCCCACAAGGAGGGTGGCCCGAAAAAGAAAATACTTTCACCATCATTCACTCATCACTGTCTTGCCAGAAGTGCACTTACACTACAGCTATAAAATTGCAGCATTAACACCTCTCCTTCAGAGTGCAGACACATGTACTTCCCATCTCCAGATGCAAGTCCTGAAGAGGGGTTACTAGCCCCATTGCTCCCAGCATTTAGTCATCTCTTACAACACACATGACTTATGGAGGAGAGGCTCTTGTCCACTTTTCCATGGAATGAAGTAAAAAAGAAAAAGAACTATAGAAAATAGAAGCAAACTCAGATGGATGTGTATTCTTTTGTGCCTATCAGTGTTTTGTTACATGTAATTACATTATATACCACATAAAGAAATAAAAATTTGTATTAGTCATGATATTTGGTAAGCGCTCCTGTAAAGCTCATCTGTATACAATGATACCTCACATATTCCGGCCTGCCATTATCCAAATCCTCACCAATATCCGAACAGGCCCTGGAAAGGGCAAAATCTATATTATTACCAAAGCATCCAAACAGCCATTGGATGCAGCAGAAGGCTGAATCAAACTTGGTGTGCACTTTAGTGTACCAGTTAGCCACTAGGAGCCATGCACTTTTGCCACCTTCAGAAGGCTCGTGATAAGATTATGGCCTACACAAGTAAGTTTTCTGCCCGCCCAGAAGAACTGAAAAAGTGCCGAAAGATAAAGTGTTGGTGAAGCCACAGAGCTTGGAACTCAATCAGTGAGTGAATGAAGTGGTACCTACAAAACAGGTAGTGGTATGATGGTTCCTGGCGCTGATGTGAAGGACTGGCAAGCATGTGACGAAGATGACCCTGGTGTGCAATCCCTGATGGATGCAGAGATTGCAGAATCAGTGTTGCACCCGGAACATTCCAAAAGTGATGACGACGACCCAATGCCTCCAAGACCAAAAACTTCAGCAGCAAGGGCAGGTGTTGACACACTTTTGGAGTATTTGGAGCATCCACTGTCCACAGCCCATTTGAAAAGTTATGGTCCTGTGGTCTGTGAAATCCGGGAGGCTGTTATTTGAGCCCAGAGTATCTGGCCCCACTGCCAGACGATATTGGACTCATTTTTTTAACCCTTTCAGGGTTTCGGATGTACTGGTACAGCTTACGCACCAGGGTTTTTGACATACTAGTATGCCTAAATTCTAGCACCCTCAATCTAGTGAGGAAAGTGGTAGGCCTACATATGAAAGAATGTTTCTATGTAGTCAGTGTGCGCAGTATAAAAAAATATCCTGCAGCACACAGTGTGTAATGAGAAAAAAAAAACTTTGATCGTTTTTGGATTAAAACAGCGACTTTGCACTGTATTTTTGCATGGTATTTATTGTTGTATTCTAGTTTCCTGGTCTCATTTTAATAGAATGAAAGACATATTACAGAAATTGAGATGATTTTGACTGGTTTTACAATGAAAAGTACCTTGAAATTGAGCTCAAAGTAGCAGAAATGTTCAATTTTTACCGAAGTTCAAAAGTAAACAAATCATGCTATACGTCCAATACACGTCAACTGGTGAGTCTAATATTCTTTCACAAGTGCACCGATATTTTATACCATTTTACACTAATGCAGTAGTCTGCATAACAGTAAATCTTCTATTTTTTGTGAGAATAAAAATTCAAAGTGGAAAGCAAAAGAATGTAAGAGGGGCGTGGGGACGTGACTGATGAACAGAGGAAATGTTATTTTAGTGCCAAGAATGTCTTTCTTGTTTATTCTGGACCCTATTTGGAAATTGGCATCTTTTGAAATTTGTGTGAAATTCGCAAAAATTGCTAAATTCTGACCACTTTATTGGATATGAAATCGGTAAAGGGGTGGTTTCTGTACTCATTCGATATAAAAAATGGAGTTCTAGAGAAATATTTATGATTTTTGTTGACTAGTTCAATGGAATTGGCCGAAAATAGGGCTCAAACTGGGCAAAATCGCCAATGTGTAAACATCATCGAGACCGCTAACTTCGTGAGAGCATAATTCCATAAGTTTTCCATCAAATTTCATACTTTTGGTGTCATTATGATCAGGAAAAGAGTTTCTATCTTTTCATAAGAAATTTTTTTTTTTTTTTTTTTTTAAATTTGGGCAACCCTGAGAATAAGTCTGGGAGAGGGCCTGGGGACCCTGAAAGGGTTAAACCTACAACATCATCGCCGATAGCGATATGATGGGGTATGGATGGCGATAGAGTGGTACGGTTGTGTATTGTCCACCTTAATTTCTTCAGAAACTCAGTGTTTCAAACCATTCTCGGCCCATATATGTAGTTCAAGATATGTAGGTATTGCTGTATGTGATTTTTTGTAAAGGCAATGAGAAAGTGTATGCAGACTTAAATACAAGTTGATGAAGGTATTTCCACTTGCTATAAACTATTGGATATAGTCTTTCAGTTGCATTTGCCAAAAATGTCACACTATAGAAGAACTTTATAAGAAAGCTTACAGTTGAAGTTGTTATGAGACTTGGGTTTTGTCATGTTTTAGACATATCATTCTTTTATATTTCTGTGTATTTTCTTGTCCCTTTAACCCTTCAGGTCCAGACCCCTGAGCTGAGACTTGTCCACTGAATCCAAGAATTAAGAAAAAATTTTATTTTTTCTTATGAAACAGTAGAGAACCTTTTCCTGAGTGTAATAAAACAATAGTATGAATTTAATGAAATTTACCATTTTTTGCAAATTTTATTGTATCACCAATATTTATACATCGGCAATTTTGCCACTTTGGCTCCTGTTTTAGGCCATTATGCTGTTGCAGTCAACCAAATTCTTAGCTTTTTACTAGTATGTCTTCTGTTTTATTAATCGAGCACAAGAAACCACCCAATCTTCTATTTAAGCTACCCAAAAAAGTGGTCAGAAATTGGTAATTTGACCAATTTCACACAAGTTTCAAAATATTCCAGTTTCAAGATAGGGTCCAGAATAAACAAAGCAGACATTCCTGGCATTAGAATAACATTTCTTCTGTTTATTAGTTATGTTTCCAAGCTTTATACACGAATTCCATTTTGATTTATATTCACACAATGAATTTTTATTCATAAAAACAATAGAAGATTTACTGTTATGCAGTATTGTAGTAATTGTATAAATAATATCAGCACATTTGTGAACACATGTTAGACCCACCAGTTGATGTGTCTTGGACATATGATGTGATTTGTTTACTCTTGAACATTGGTAAAAATTGAACATTTCCGCTACTTTGATTGCAATTTCAAGCTATTTTTTGCCCTAAAACCAATCAAAATCATCTTGATTTTTGTAATCTATCAATTGAGACCAAGAAACCATGATTACCACCATAAAAACCATACAAACATATACCTCAAATTCACTGTTTTAAACCAAAAACACAGTTGAATTTTTTTCCAATACAGTGGACTCCCAGGTTAACCCTTTGACTGTCGTAGGCCCTTTCTGACACTGTATCTATGTCGATAAATTTTTGAAAAAAGAAAATTATTTTTCTTATGAAATGTTAGAGAAACTTTTCCCAATTGTAATGGCAACCAAAAGTACGAAATTTGGTCGAAAACTCATGGAATTACGCCCCCAGCGAAGTTAGCGGTCTCGGTGCATATGCATCGGCCATTTCGCCGACTTTGAACCTGTTTTTGGTCAATTCCATTGTTCCAGTTAACCAAACTCATAGCTATTCTTAGAACTTCCATTTTTCTATAAGTTGAGGACAGAAAACCGCCCATTTACCGATTTGAACTACCCAATAAAATGGTCAGAAATTGGCAATTTGGCCAATTTCATGCAAATTAAAAAAGATGCCAGTTTCAAAATAGGGTCCAGATTAAACAATGTAGACATTCTGGCACTAAAATAACATATCCTCTGTTCATTAGTCACGTCTCTACCCTCTCTTATATTACCATTGCTTTCTATTTGATATTTTATTCATACAAAAAAATACAAAATTTACTGTTATGCAGACTACTGCATTATTGTAAAAATGTATAAATAATATCAGTCACTAGTGAAAGAATATTAGACTCCCCAGTTACGTGTATTGGACGTGTGGTGTGATTATTTACTCCTGAACATTGGTAAAAATCGAACATTTCCGCTATTTTGAGCTCAGTTTCAAGGTCGTTTTCATCGTCAAGTAATGAAAATCATCTCTATTTCTGTAATATGTTTATCATTTTATCACCTAAGACCATGAAAAACGCGAATACAATGATAATACTATACGAAAATACACCTCAAAGTCGGCATTTATTCCAAAAAACGATCAGTTTTTTTTTTTCTCATTACGCAATTGTGTGCTGCAGGATTTTTTTTATGTGGTGCACACTGACAACACAGACCCATTCTCCACATGTGGGCCTACCAGCTTTCTCTGCTTGATTTGAAGCCGCTAGATTATTGAGTATATTATTATTTTTTTATTATCACACTGGCGATTCCCACGAGCAGGGTGGCCCGAAAAAGAAAAACTTTCCATCATTCACTCCATCACTGTCTTGCCAGAAGGGGTCTTTACACTACAGTTTTTAAACTGCAACATTAACCCCCTCCTTCAGAGTGCAGGCACTGTACTCCCATCTCCAGGACTCAAGTCCGGCCTGCGTTTCCCTGAACCCCTTCATAAATGTTACTTTGCTCACACTCCACAG